ATTTGAATTCGAGAAGGCCATATGCCGAAAAGTTGTCTGTCTTATGAGCGCAAAGGGAACTGGCACTAGGTCGTGTTGTAAAGAAAAATGGCTGCCGCCATGTTGAAACTTCCCATAAAACCTCGCTCTGTTGTTAGTCCCATTTCCTCGCGGCGAGAAAATCGAACATTTCACCGTCTGATATGAATTTAAGTCGTACTGTTGTCGACTTGTTCGTCTCGACGGACAAATCATCTTCAAAAAATCGTCTATCCAGACGGCCAAATATCAGACGATTTGTTCGTGGAAAAATTTTTTCGTTCCATTTTCACATCAGACGATTTGTTTGTCTAAGACGATTTGTCCGTCCAGACGATTTGTCCGTCCTCTAGTGTGAAAACGGCCAGTGGCCACAAACGCACGAATGAGCTCAATGAAATTGTATTTTTGCACAAAGATACCAGGACTTTGGATAGGCTTTTGATTTTAGATACCTCTCCAGTGACGCCTGCATTATTTTCAGGCAGCCGGGCTCATATTCATCCCCGTTTTCTTTTCGTAACTCGGCATAAAACTGCGCCAGTGTGCGGTCGAGGACATCGCTCTCGTACTCTTCTGAATTTGCTTGGAAGTTTCTTTCACTCGCCCACTGTTTAAAACGTTCTTCCAGTACTCCGTGCTTTTCCCCTTGTTTTCGTTTTCACTCTTGCCTTTAAATTCTTCAATATAATCCTCGTCAACTATCTCGAAACGAGACGCCATTGTTACAGAAAATCTTCAGCTGCAACAAGTTTTCGATAGCATAAGCTGTTGCTAGGCAACCTGAGTACCAATCATGAGCTAGTAATTTCGCCCTCTTCTCAAGCAAAATTAAGAAAAAACACCCTCTTCATTGACCAATCAGCATTCAGTAATTTTGCCCTGTATTTTATTAATAAAGAAAATACACTTTCAGCTTTTACACGTGTAGTTTACACGGGTAAAGTCCGACTTGTAAATACAAGTATTTAATAAAACAATATTCCACACCGGAATTTACACGTGTATCTCGAGTCACAGCACAATTGTAAATTACCGTTGTAGAATTATAGGATCCTTCTTACAACTGTTAACTCCGCTAGAATGTAATAAGTGATTTTTTTACAAATGTAATTAAAAGTCGCAGCTGTCCTTTCAATACATGCGGCTTTGCTTCCTTTGCCTACAGTTTTATTCGTCAACAGTCGCTGAGCATATTCTCCAAACAGCAAAAGTTGCTTTTGGCTCAGCTCGTGAAGGAACATAAAATGATAGTTTTGGCGCCATTTTCGTCGACAGTGACGAAGAAAGTAAAGCAAGAAGCGTGGGAAAAGATTCGTAGGCAATTAAACGGCGTTGGTACAAGTATAGACAGCACCAAAACACTTCGAGATGTTTTATGGGCCAGTATTCGCAGGGCTACTCTCAAAAAAAGTTGTCGAATCTAAAAAGACTGGTTCAGGGGGAGGTGGAGAGCTCACCGAGCTAGACGAGACAGTCCTCGATGTTTTAGGCCACTAAAGTGCAAACATAGAGCCCTTGAAAGTCGACGATTCAGATCTTGTATTTGGAGAGGAGATCGTTGTTACAACAACTCCTACCATTGAAGGTAAAATAATTATAACCCATATTTAAATAAAGGTTTCAACCATCTTAAACGTGCCTTGTTGGTAATGAAATGAGAATGTTTTTTAATGCATTTTCCAAAGGGGGAGGAACTATTGTATGATGCTAAACTGGAGTAAAAGTTTTATAAACCAACTCAAATCTTTAAGCCGTTTCGGAAGAGGTTTCGGAAGAGGTATCTCATCTTAGATCCTGAAACCCTAGACCTTACCTTGCGACACTTATCCTTCCCCAACGCGGACAAACCGGAGCGACTTCTAACCCAACATATGTTGAAGTTATCGCTAAGTTAAATTTCTTTGCACTAGGTGGCGTTGGAAGCTACACTGAGGAAGTGCAAGTTTCTACTGCAGACACTGGGACTGGTGAAACGGAAGAAGTAAGTGGACATAGTGGTGCCAGCTCACCACAAATGTTAGCCAGGCAGTCGCCGAAACACCAACGGCAACAAATTAGACGCCAAACTTTGCCACTAGCTTGAAAGAAAGGAGCAGTCAAGGCTAAAGGGAAATCACCAGCTGCAGAAAAGAAGGGGACGACATACTGCGCCTTAGAGAAAGAAAGCTCCAACTAGAAAACGTTAAGCTGAGATTGGAGATAAAAAGACTGAGAAAGGATCTTGAAAATTAATTTCATTAAACGGCGTCAAAAAAGTAAATTAAAATAATTATATAAAATTAGCCTTTGGACATTTGTTGAACTTACTATATTGTAATGCTATTGATAGTCTAAAGAATACTGTAAATTGGTGATGGGTGAAATCAGAATTATGACCTACATGTACACTAATTTTTTCCTTTGGAAGTTAGGTGTAAGTGACTTTGTGCAATAAAACGTAATGATTATCGTCATTGGATAAAAAATGACCCATTTATTTGGCACGATATTGAAACAGTGGCAGTTTTTAATTCAGCATCATTTGTATAAGTCCTCACATTTATAGGAAGTGCTGCAACAGCTGCTGCCTTCTGTCCTCTTGTTCCTCTCCAGGACCGATATCCAACTCATCGTGGACATTGTTGAGATCTGCATCGTCCAGCAGATCATCGCCATTATCGCTAAATAGGATGCAGAAGTTGTGCAATACAACAGCGCACTGGACAAGCTCGGCAGCTCTTGTCATGTTTTTTACTCTCATACCCGTCTGGAGAGCGTAAAACGTTCTCTTGAGAACGTCAAATGCCCTCTCGATTGTGCATCGTGTTTTCTTACGCGCCTCATGAAACCTGCAGCGAGCCCCTTCTACGTCTCCTCTGAAAGGGGGGATCAACCAATTGTTATCGGCAAAGGCAGAGTCGCCTAAAATAACTGCCCCTGGGAGTGGTCTATTCCCCTGTTGCTCTAAGGCGGTCCACAGTCAGCTTTCTTTAACTACTCGTAATCATGCCACCTTCCTGGGCATCAACTGCTACAGAAGTAGAATGTGTAATCTGGGCCTGATACCATGGCGACATTCAGAGATTTAGAATGATGGCGGTTGACGTAGGCGTCTTCATCATTGTGAGGTGGGTTCACTTAAACGTGAGTTCCATCGACGCATCCTGCAACACACGGAAAGCCTGCGATGTCTCTGAGTTTAGCGGCGATACTTAGAGGCTGGCCAGGCCATCGTATGAACTCCCCCTTCAAGCTTAGTATTGCAGGGAAAACGCGATGAATGATATGCCATACTGTTGATATAGAGATACAATGACAAGAGTCCATTACGTGATAGAAGGAATTTGTTCCAAGGAAGTAGAGAATTACTAAAAGTTGCTGTCTTGCCGATAGTGCTCTCTTACGTCTCGTTCTATGCTCCAAGCGCGGGCCTATTAATTCCAAAAGGCGGACGAAGGCGTCCACAGGCAGTCGAAACTTCTCTCGAAATTCCCTTGGATTTTCGTTGTCGAAAAGCCTTCTGTTTTGGAAATTCCTAGGTCGACGGATAACTTGACGTCTTAGCAGTTCGTCGAGTTCCTCATCACTAGAAGATGACATATTGTGACACTCCCATGTCCTTTTTCAGAAGAAGTACTCAGTGTTTAAAAGTGACTTGCGACATGTATTTTCCACCTGTGATGTACAAGTCGAGCTCTTGTAAAAATACAAGTTTGACTCCTGTAAAAGTTTTATTAAATTGGATACTTACCATCTTTTACACTTGTAGCGCTACACCTTTAATGATAAGTCGGACACTTGTAACCTGGACTTGTAACGATGTTTCTTAAACTCGTTTTCGTCTGCACTTGTAAATATGACGGTCTAACTTGTAGATTACGAGTGTAGAAGTTTTATTAAATTGAGCCCTGCAGTATATGAGAAAATACTAATAGATAAGCGAGGGAGATGACTTTTTCATATAATTCTGTATGGATCAAACTTTCTCTTATTGGTTTCTACGTCGAAAGAAAAACGGGAAACAAAACAAACGTTCCTATTGTGTATCCATACTACAAACGGTTAAAATTTACCCGATTCACACACAGGACATTACTAGGTTACAGAGGTCATGTGATCAAGAGGGCGCGAAACTGAACAAACAGGGAAGCCCGCTAACACTCTTAGTACATCAGAATGTGGTAACAAGACTGCGACAACAATCAGAACGCGTTAAAAACACAGCAGTCACTCAGAAATAGCATTATAATACGATTCACTCTGCAATCAAGTTTTACAGAAATTATTATAGCAGCTAAACTAAAAATGGTTCGGCAAGTAGAATTCCACACTTTTGCACTTGGTTTTTTTAGTCTTGATGCAGAATCTTAAGCAAGGTAACTTATAGTTTTTATTGCGTAATTTTGGTGTACAAATAGTCCTCTTTAATTTGGAGATATTTAAAAAAAATTTATCTGAGGGAAAAAAGATATAGCGAAAAGGGTTCACGAAGCCTCTTACTCGATGATGCAAATTAAATTTTAACCTTAAAGGCCCGTCGCCTCTGAAACAAGCACAGTGAACTGTTTTTTTATATGTATATTTCGAAATAGACGTTGGTAGGGAAAATTTAAGGAAAGTTTGAAAAAATTGTTCTTTAACTTTTTTTTATGAGGAATCACCTTAATCCTGTTGTCTATTCCATGAAACAGAGTTAGTGGAAGAGACAAATAAAGGGACTAAAAAGAAAAGTTTAATAAGAGCGATGTTCAATTGAGTATCAAAAGAGATCAAGGGTTACGTTGGTTTGCTTTACTATTCCCTATGATTGGTCCTTAAAACTCACGACACTTTCTCAAAAAATGTTATGCGTGACTAACAGTAATCTCTACCTGGTCACTCTAGTTTTACCACGCCTGAAATTGTTTGCTTGTTTTTACATATTATTAGGTACTTATACCTGCCACTAATGAAAAGTGCATAAGTGGAGATGTTGGTTGCAGCTTTCATTTCTCAGAATAATTGTCAATGATTAGGCTAAGCTCGATCAACTCCAGGAATGGTGGATAAGAGCTGTGTTATTTTAATTTTTCCCGTTGAAGTTACAGTCTTAAACTAAAGCCTTTGAGACTTTAGACTTTAGACACCTCTTTAAAATCTGTTGTAAATATCACTACTTTCAAAAAGAAGCTCAAGTTTATTTGGATACAGAAATTTACTGATGAATGATAAAATCGAAAGTTAAAGTTGGAAGTTGATTGAAAGGTGATCGTTTATATATATATATATCTGTGAATTTTTCAGTTTTTGTAAATTGACATTCAAAAGTCATTTATTGGAATGTCAATAAAGTTGGTATTGTAAGTGAACTTGCAGAAGCTTTTAGTAAATCAGTAATAAGATAATGGAAGCACACATAGGTACACATCATTGATCCTTGGGCTTGATTTTCATTTCAGAACGTTTGAGTGAATAGTAAAGGCCTCGGAAGTCCTTCCAGATAACCCCTGTTTGGCCGCTGGTAACGTTATACAAACCGTTAAGATTGCATTGAACACACTGAGGGTTATCAAACCACCAGCCTCCTTTCTGATCATCCCGTGCGCAGTGATAGAATGGTGACTGGTCATTATCTCGATCTTTGGTGGAAAACTGATTGTCACTATAAAGGAAATTTACAAATGAAGAACATTATGAAATGACTTTTAATTACAAATAAAAAAATTCATAGAAACATGGAGAAAGAGAACAGAAAGACAAATAACAAGATGTCAGACTTACTTATGAGTGTTATTTGGCTTTATTTCAGGATTTTTGTGTTTTATATTAATCAATCTTTTAGGGAGGGAAGTACTTTACAATTATTCGCTTGTAGAAGGTCATTTGTTTTTGTTACAGTTCCCAAATTCCCAACTTTTACGTGTGAAAAAGGCCCTGAAAATTTGTATGTTTTGCATACCTATGAGATGTGAAGGAGTCACCCGCCTCGCCAGTGTATCCTCCAAGTGTGAGCGTGTAATTTTCTGCCTCGTCTGTGACATTGAAAGTGGCGTACTTAGCGTACGTGATGTTCCCCTCAAAGTCTTCCAAGTCAACTCTCAACATGACGTCATTAGTGGCTGTCAAACGGTGAAGATTGTCGTTTCCGAGCCAGAACTCGCCGATCGGATTTCCAAACCCGTCTTTGTAAGTTTTCCAGTCTCGATCGAAGTCAACGGAGCCGTCCAAACGTCTCTGAAAAATGGTCCAACCTCCACCGTCCGTGGCCATGTCACACAACACTTGAATTGGTTTGCCTCCATCTGGATTGATCGTGTACACTCCACTGGATGTGACGCCATCTTTAAGGAGGTGCTGGCAGCTTAGTGCTTCTGCCGTATGCGTAACTGAAATAAATCATAAAGTTGATTACACTTCTTTGATAAAGCATTGCGAGGAGAGCTGATGCGGTAATTCAGGATCTTTACTCTTTGCAAGATTTGTTGTTAGATGATTATGAATACAGCAGTGGCTTACCTTGAAGCTAACCAGTCGGATTCTCTGTCTCCATAGGAGACCCAGATTTTTGTATTGGCTTACGCTCTTAAAAAAGCGAGGGACAACTTTCGTTATTTCGCAACTCGAACTCAAAATTCATTACCTTTCGTTTTCTCAATAAAATGATATCCTAATTCGGTGTATCCAAAAATACTAAGAAAGATCGACTAGGAAATTTGACCAAGTGATGACAATGTGAAAAATTCTACTTTAAGGAAGCCTCCAGTTGCAGATCAAGTTAACTTTGAAGTGAGCAAAGCACCTCGTATTAAGAAGATTCTGTTCCAAACATGCATTCTATCAGTAGAGAGTCGAAAATTAGTGAAAGCGCCAGCCACAATACTTACCGCATGGTTTTCCAGTATATCCAGATGCATAACCACATTTGCATTCTGCAGTGTTGTCTTTATAATTGGGAACACAGATTTGGTTTTTTGCACAAAGGGAAGAATTGAACTCACAATCGCTCTGTCGAAACAAAAACACCTGATTACTTTTACTGCAACAAAGGTTTCCCATAGATTGATTGTTTGATAGACTTTTAAAACTGCACCTGTTTCATTTTTCAGATTGAATTGTAAGCTTCTAGACCGGCCAACACAAAGATTCCTGACCGGACTAACACTCAGTGTTTTATATTAACTGAGGGGATTGTAACGCCTTTGCTATGATATCTGCAAATGGTTGGACTTTCTTGTGTTCTCGCACAAGGACGATCGAGTATCACCTAATTGTTCTGAATTCTATTTACAGTGAGCTGAAAAGAAACTGGATATAACGTCTCTGTTGCTGAAAGGGGATGCAGCAGTATCAGAAAAACAGACGTGACTCGAATTGTTCAAAAGCACGTAAATAACCTAGACAAAAGGATACATAACGCAATTATTTTTTCCAAAGTAAATCTAAATAAACCTGGTAAACTTATGCTTTCGTTGTGCCCTTCCTTTGTTTGTTTCGAATATCGCCGACAGTGCATGTACACCTGGGGATGAGTTGATTATAAAAACTCAAAAATATTATTTTGATTCTTAGGATTCTTCACGAGGTTTCTATGGATGCAGTTCCGTTAATAAGGAAGGACCACTATTAATTAATAATTTTCTTTAGTTGCCAACAAGTTCGCTGATGAAATATTCTCAGAGTGAAATACAGACAATTGAGAGATATTTATTATCAACTGATCAGTAAAAAAATAACAGAGGGCATTTTCTAGATGAGCTTTGCAAAAGATATATTTTTCTTTAGCAAAGTTAACGTTACAATCACAATAGCAAATATATTATAACTTTAAAACTTTAATGAACTCACAGAAAAACAATCTTTTTGTAATACGCTTGCCCAAGAAAAACATCCATATTGACTGTTTCCAAAGAAAAAAAGGAAATTCTACCGCAATTTAAATAATTGAAAAGTTTTTTGTGTGCTGCAGATGCTTACCTCTCACATAATTAGAATTAACCTAAAACTTAAATTTGCGATCAAAGAACTAAAAGCAACTCTTCAAGGAGTTTTTTACCATCTTTGATATTCTCTTTCCATTTTATTCTTAGAAAGTATCCTTATCTTCCAATTTTACCTGAGAATTGAGAATATATGGTTCTAGTAACACAATTAATTACGCTGTCCTTGTTTTACACTTTATATAATTCATTTTTCCCGTCACTAAAGGGCGAGGAGGTTTGAGTTTTCTTTTTTAATCCGAAGTTGTTTCAGTAGAATCCTGAAAGACTCAAAACTTTACACATCATGTCAGCGAACACTTTTGCAAAGTCAAGTTTATTATAAAGGGAATATAAAGCCTCTCTGCTTCGTTCTAGAAAATGTTATTCAGAATTTCTTACCATCACTCCTCTGTACAGAAATTCGTTGTCTTTGGTGAAATTCTTGAAGTTAGTGAAGCGATCAGAGTCGCTTAGTTGACATTTAAACTTCTTATTTGTTCTGGATCCAAAGTTGTAAGAGACGCATGAACTTTCTTCCACACACTGCAGTTGACATAGACCCTCAGAATCCACTTCTATTTCTCTAAAAACACTTCCATTAAGACGTCGTCCCCTTATTTCTCTGGCAAAGTTAACCGCCCTGAAGACAGGTGTTATTATTCGAGGGTCTCCGCATGTAAAAGCAATTGCTAAGGACGCTAAAAGTGGTTTAATCAGATACATGTTTCGGAGTCTCTTACTTAGATGCCTCGGAATCTCTCAGTGGTTGATGTTTATGCAGTTTTTAGTTTTCAACTTCGCATTCTTAATTATTAATCGTTAACTTGTTGTAATTTCAATTGAGCGAAAAGAAAACAATCAATACACAAATTACGTTATTGTAAAGAAGGAGAGAGGAGGTAAATCAAAGGTGTTCCTGAGTCATCCGTCGTTGCCAGTTCCCGATTAAATGTTTTGGTACTTGCAATTGTACATTTGAGTTTGAGGTCAGATTTCTATTGAACTGGACGCACACACCTGAAGAAACTTTGATTTAATTTTGGTGTTTTGACAGAGTTCCAGACCCTCGGAAAACCTCTCCCCACCCCCGTCTGTAATTGTCCCGCTTCATGCAGTGTAGGTAACTGGGGCGTGCTCGCAGGCCATTACTTAATCCTCTCGTAGACTTTTCGTTGCCTCCAATGACATCGTCTTCCTTAACGAAAATTTTGGAACAAAGTCAGTGCTAATAATCGACTTAATTCTCTTCCTCGGGATCCGCATATTTTGGTTTCCCCGACTAGGTCTAATTAATGTCGCTTACTCATCTCGACAGCCGATAATGCAAAATGAGACAAACGAAAGCAGCGTAAACAGCTCTCTAGGCGTGCAATCCCCTCAAATTCCTCTGACTGCCCCTACCCTCCACCCTCCGGCGATAAATAATGGCTGAGTGCCTAAGTGGCTTGAGCCTCAGTCACGAGGGCGTAAGTTGGCGCCTCCTGTATTTTGCAAATAAATTTCGGGTGGCAATTACCGACAAACATTTTTTCTGGCATTTGAGTTTGCTTATTATAATAACAGGAAAGAGACTAAAGCCAAATAAAGAATTCATTTACGGAGAGGGCTGACGAGGAAGATGGCGAAGCTGATTTGAAGCTCCAATTGTAAAGAAAAGTCCCAAAGTTGTTGGCTTAAAAAGATACAAAACAGATCCAGGAATATTTGACTGCTTGGTTTGAAACTTTGATTCACAAAACACAGAGTTAAGTCTAAACTGGAGCCTGAATAAGTTAACACACATTTCGTCCATGTTCATTGTCTCTCTAGAAAAAAGCTAGCACAACCTTGTTCCTGGGGACTTGTGCGTGAGCTTAAGCCGATCAATAACTTGAAGCTTTCTTTAAAAGTCTAATTCGGTAACACACACTAAGTGAATAAATAAAATGAATAAATCATGAATACTGGTCGCCGGAAAAGAACGATTACGAAATATAACTAAGTAACTAGAAGCATACTAGGGAAGGATGCGAACGGGACACCGAAACCATCGTCGGCGCACACCCAAGAGAATGACAACTACAGCTTATGCCATTTATCTGCTTTGCTAAAACTATCAGTCGGTCAAGATTGATCCACTAAAGCTATGTGAAAAAGATCGTTTCAATTATGTCGCCATATGTAAAATGATGCATTTGTCATCCTGCGAAACTGTCTTATTCCTTGGCTTTTACTTTCATCTCATAGCGTTTTAGTGAGTAGTATAGGCCCCTGAATGTGCTCCAGTTGACACCATTAGCATAACAGGCATGTCGGCCATTGAGGTACAATCCGTTCAGATTGGAAGCATGGCAGTTATTGTACCACCACGCCCCCTTGAAGAGTTGCGAACAGCTGGCATTATATAGATCATTATCTTGATCTTTCGTGGAAAACTGCATTTGGCTGGAATAAAAATAAAACTGACGTTGCCATGTTTATTTCTGCACAGCCATTGTAGAGATAAATGTTCTCATTAAACTTAGAAAACCAATTCTGCTCAAAGGAATTACGTTGACAAATTGCCTTACAGGAAAACCGGGAGACACCAGAGAGATAGAGATGAAGAACTAAATTTGTAATACAATACCATAGAGAAGAATAGAATAGATTAGTTAGTCGTAAAAAAGACCAACCGGAAAAGTCTTTTAACAATGGAAATATATGCCGTTCAGTTTCTTTCCGGTATCAGTTCTCTAAGGCTACAAATGCTAATCATAACGCGCTCCTCTTCCGGCTGGTTATGGATACCCTCTCTGTCAACACGAAAACATTTCTTACTTTTATGGTACCATAGAGTCCCCAGCCGTTCCACTGTATCCTCCAGTTAAAAGCCTGTACTTANNTAAGCAACACTTATGTGAAAGAAAAAAAAGCAAGGCTAAGATATTAAACGCATCACATCACAGCCTAAACTGCGTTGTCTTTTAGTAATTAGACATTGTTTAGAATTTAGTCATTGTTGATGGACTAGGACAGATTTAGCTTACCGTCATTCCTCTGTAAATGAAATTTTTATCCTCGGTAAAGTTAGCAAATCCAGCGAATCGATCAGAGTCGCTTAGCTGACACTTGAATTTCTGTGAGTCGCCCTTTATGGTTCCAAAGTTATATGAATGACATCCTTCTTCGTCCACACATTCCAGCTGGCAAGAAATTTCCGAATCAACTTCCATTTCTCTCATAATGCTTCCGCTCAGCTTTTGTCCTTCTATCTCGTTTGCAAAGTTAACAGCTCTCAGGTCTGGCTCTGAAATACGGCTTACGCCGTACACAATGGCACAAAGAAGAACTGTTATACGGAGGTGCATGTTTGGTCTTCACTACCAGAGAGTTTATGATGAAGAAAAATGAATGTTTGCTTGACTTCTATTGCTTAATTAGGCCAGCAGGTGTAAGGCAATTGCCAGTAAGAATGAAAACAGGGTACACAATACAATATGCTTATGAGCTGACCGTCATTTAATGACTGTTGACAACTTAAGACAGTATCAGAGATTCCTTTTTTGTGTTCTAAAAGTTAGCAGTTACTGTTTTTTCGGGGGGAGGGAGGGTGTATTAGTCTCCATCAAATGCCTTTTAACAATTCTGTAAATAGCATTTCATGATGGCCTCCGTAATGAACCTCGCGTTAGCTTCCTTTTAACATTATTATTCAGGTTATTTTATTATATCATTTTGTTGCTATACTCGTTTCAAAACTCTGTCAAATTGCATCATATAACAGCCATCCAATCTGGCTCTGAAAAAAGGGTTATGCCCACAGAAAGCCACAAAGAAAATTTATCGTAAAGAGACGCATGTTGAGTATTCACCTTGAGAAAGGTTATGATGAAATAGAGTAAATGTGCAGGTGCAGGAAAATTGCCAGAATGAAAACTGTGCAAGTAATACGATATGCTTTTAAGGTGACCATTCGCGTAGGCCTGTTGCTTAAGTAGTATATAAATCATTTCAAATTACATTTTTTCTCATACAGAGAGCCTAAATAAAACATAAAATGAGTTATTTCACGTTATATTCTAACCCAGATAAAGGAACTTTTCAATTTTCTTTAATTGTCTGCTGTATATAGTAACAATATATACATGTTTCAATAACTGATTAGATTTCAGAAAATATGACTCTTTTTTTATCAAATTTTGATTGCATCTTTGAGATCCTACGCGGAAATACGACTGATACTGAGATAATTCGGATATATCAACAAAGTTGAAATGGTAAATTGACCACCGTAACGATTACAAAAGCTGACGCTTCGAGCGTTAGCCCTTCGTCGGAGATAGGCTGTTTAGAGAAGAATAAGAACATTATGATTTACGTTTAGTCGCAGAGGAAAGTTGGAGTGAAATTTTTTTTTGTAAAGAAAATCAATGAGAAGGTGGAACAGCAATGTAACTAAATAAATGCGTTTAAACAAGTTTTTAATTAAGGCCTGTTTAAATTGGTCCATTAATTTTAAAATTTAGGGAAGGAGGCACTCTGTCATAGCTTTTTGTGCCTCCTTTACTTCCCTGAGGCTTTTCTTGCTTTTGAGCGTTTATTTCCTTTATGCTTTATGCAGCATACTAAATTAGAAAATATAGATGAACATGAGTTCACGACTCGTCACACTTACTTCATATTTCACCCTTTTTTCGACTAATTATTTTTCTTCAGTTCGTTTTTTAAGTTGTATCCTGTTGGAGATTGTTGATGCTCGATTGTTTATCTTTCTGTTCAGAAATGAGAAATTTTATTCATAAGTTTAGACTTATTTGCAGGTCTTTTTTACAACAAATTATTTCAATCGCAACAAAGCACATAAAACAACTTCCTACATCCAAAAGTGTTTTTGGATTAAGATTCAGACAAAAATGTTTAATAGACGACTGAGAAAGACAAAAATGAAAAAACTCAATGTTATAAACTCAACTTATCCTTTGCAGATGCCATAGCAAAGGCAACACATTATTCTCAATGATATTAAGACCCTGTGTTGGTCCGGTCTGGGGCATGAGACCTCGACCTCCTGCATAGCATTCCGGCCCTGAGATAAGCAAGCGGTGGTTGTTTTACATTGTACTTATTGCATGGTTTTTTTGAGTAGCCATTGTCACAATTGCATCCTATTGTGCCATCCTCGTAGTTAGGAATGCACATCCCCTTGTCGCTGCACAGAGGAGTATCGTACACGGAGATAATTATTTGGAGAGCTGCTTTGTTTCTTTTGTTATTTTCTTGTGGTTGCCCCCCCCCCAAATAGAAACATGTCTAAACTGAGTTGTTGAACCTGAGTCTGGAAAATTCTGGTCAAAGTACGGGGTGTTATTTAGAACTATTTAAAATCATTTATTACACGACTCGGGCAGTCAGAGGGCCAATAACTAAAATCAACCAATCAAAATGCTCTATTGCCGGTCAATATTCTCTCAGTATTGGACCGGGCACTGTCCCGAATGGTCCCGAATGATACCGCACTTGTGTCCCTTTGAACTTCAGTCGTATAATAAATCTCTTATTAACCAAGCTTGCTCGGGACCGTACTGGAAGAATATCGGCCCTCGGTCTTTTTTGTACGGACCTCGCTGCGCTCGGTCCGTACTGTCAAGACCTCGGACCGATATTCTCCCAGTACGGCCCTCGCGCTTGGTTAATAAGATATAT